CAAAATCTGAATAAAAATGTAGGGTAAGGTGGTTTGAAAAAATCGTAACTCTGAAACAAAAAAAAAAACGATATTAACTTGAAATCTTTAGGAAAAATCAAGCTCTATAAGAGGATGAAGCCTAGTGATCCTGAAAAAATAAAATAAAAATGAGGGTTAAGAAGTGTGTTCAACTGATATAGAAGACTTAAAGAAGAGTATAATATACAGTGTGTGCCAAAAATATTGATCAATATGGTTTTTTAATATTACGATTAGAAAAAACCGTCGTAGGGCAATCACCTCTGCTTATTTAAAAACTTAAAATAGCCCGTATCAAAGTAATCTGGTGATAATAGTAATTCTGTCAAATTCGCATTAAAAAATAAAAATTTAACTTTACTTTTAAAAAATACCGAGTTTGACATATAACTAATGCAGTACCTAGCCAACTTTAGTATAGGCTATTTAAAGTTTTTAAAAAAAGCTTTTTTCAATAGTAATATTAAGAAAATTCCCATATGGATCCAACTTTATGGAACACACTGTAGAATGCCAAGCATTATCCTATGTCTTCTAGTTGAGTATTAATATTTATTTATATTAATTTTTATGTATTTGCAATTTTATTAGTATACTTTTATGGCCAACCGTAAATAATTAAAATTAATAAAAAGGAGATATATTATAACATCACACTTTAGTATGACAAAGTAAACAAACAGAAAAATAAGAGCGAAACCAAAAACATATCAGTTACAGACTATTTCTGTCAGACGATCATGGCTATGTTGATAAATATTAGCGACAGATACAATATTTGATTTTTACAGTGAGATAAAGTGTTTATTTACTTCCGCAAACCGCTATGGTAATGCATGGCTTTATTGACGGTTGGCGATAAATATTATTATAGTCATAATAAGAATAAAAAATATAGTAATCTGGGGCAACTTGGTCACCTATGACGTAATTTTATCCGGGTGTTTTTTGTTTGGTGGATTTTCAGGTCCCTTTTGTTTCAGGTAAATAGTCAGTGAAAATAGTAAGAAAGAACCAGAGAATCCCCAGGGCAAAGCCCTATCAAGATTATTCTAAAGAAAATTTGGAAAAAGCCAGAGAAGCTGTTGAAATGGGTATGTCAAAAAAATTAGCTGCCGAAACACATGAAATACCTAGGACAACTTTAACTCGGAAGATATTTGAAAAAAATCGGGTTCAGTGGGCCGCCCAAGAGTCCTGTCAGCCGAAGAAGAGCGGAGTATATCAGAGACCTTTGGAGTGGTAGCCAAATGGGGGCCCCCATTGACAAGGCTCGATGTAAGGACGGTAATCGCTAAATACCTGGACAAACAAGGAAAACAGTTAGGAGAACATTTTCTGGATGATTTTATCCAGAGGAATAGGCTCTCCATTCCCCTGGCATCGAACATTAAACGGTCCAGATCCTCCGTGGACCGTGGAGATATTTTAAAATTTTTCACCAATATAAATGAGGCTCTAAGCGGACGATGCGGATGATTTTAATATATACAACTACGACGAAACTAACGTCACGGACGATCCTAGGGCCAAGAAGGTGGTGGTCCCCCGAAACACAAAAAAGGTAGAAAGGGTACAAAACCACTCTTGTACCTCCATTAGCATTATGGTGTGCAGAAACGCGAAGGGGGATCTCCTGCCTCCCATGGTTGTCTATAAATCTGGACACCCTTATGAAAACTGGACAGAAGGAGGCCCTCCAGGAACGAAATATGCAAGCAGCCCTTCTGGTTGGTTTGACATGAATTTGTTCGAGATGTGGTTTTTCAAAATCCTCCTCCCGCACATAATGGAAACCCAGTGCCACAACTATTGTGGTTGCCAGCCGCTTTTCGCCTTCAGTTATTCAGTCCTGTAAAGAGCATGCTATTTATATTACTCCATTCCCTACAAACGCCACGCATCTAATGCAGCCACTGGATGTGGCTGTATTTGGACCGATGAAGAAAGATTTTAGACCAATGGAGGAAAGAAAGCCGATATCCAGGAAATCTTCCAAAAGAACAGTTTCCCAATTTACTCTTTAGGTTATGGAACGGCATGTCTGACACTGTCAACCAAAATTTGATATCTGGATTTCGAGCTACTGGGCTTTATCCACCTGATCCAAACGAGGTCTTGAAGAGAATTCCTGATGGAACCATACCAGACGATCGAAACGCAATTGGAAGATCTCTTGATGCATCATTGGTAGATCTTCTAAGAGAACACAGAGGGGTTGGCAGCGAAGCAAATCCGAAGAAAAAACGGGGCAAGAAAATTCAACCCGGTAAAAATTTGGCAAGAGATGCAGATAATGAAGTGGCTCCCACTGATGCCACAGATTAACCTATTGTAACTGTCCCTGTAGACCTTATAGGCCCCAATAAAACCATTAAGTCTCCCACTACTCGAGCAGTGGAGCCAATAGATGTCCCAGAACCGTCTGGTATAGTTAGAACAAACAAAATTAGGAAGAAATTCCGTCCAATTCAGCCTAGACAAAAAAGTGAAAGACAAGTAAAAAGTCAAACAGATGCAAAGTGTGGCCTTTGTTTTTGTAATTGGAAAGACTTTCATGGAGAACAAGGTTGGATTAAATGCATTCAGTGCATTAAGTGAATATGTGGCCCATGCAACAACGGAAGTAAAGATCCTTATTTTAAATGCGATTACTGTGACGATTCAGATGCATCAAAACCGTTGGAATATCAAGATGATTCTGAGGCAGACAAAGAATTCATACCTAGCAAAAGTTTAAGTTACGAGTGTTACCAGAGTTACATTTGAGAGTTCCTTTTATGTTTTATTTTTGTACCAATATGTATAAGTTTAATACATTTTTGCAACATTTTTTTGTCGTTATTTTTTAGTAATAATCTAATAAATGGGCTATTTATGAAAATTTCAAACAGAAAAAAATTACTATGGGTTAATTTTATGTTTAAGCTATTGCATAGCTTTTATCGCGGGCTTTAAGCGCGGCGACCGAATCAAGAAATTCCGTAACGAAAATAAACCTAACACCCCCCACTCCGACCGGCACAGCGGTGCGGCGTTGAAAACCGTGCAGCGTCAATAAAAGAAAATCAAAAAATCGAAAAATCGAAAAATCAAAAAATCAAAAAATCAAAAAATCTAAAAATCAAAAAATCAATAAATCAAAAAATCAAAAAATCAAAAAATCAAAAAATCGAAAAATCGAAAAATTTTAAAAATCAAAAAATTTGAAAAATCGAAAAATTTGAAAAATCAAAAAATCGAAAAATCGAGAAATCGAAAAATTGAAAAATCGAAAAAAATCGAAAAAAATCGAAAAAAATCGAAAAAAATCGAAAAATCGAATAATCGGGAAATCGAAAAATTTAAAATTCGAAAAATTGAAAAATCGAAAAAAATCGAAAAATTGAAAAATCGAAAAAAATCGAAAAATCGAAGAATCGAAAAATGAAAAAATCGAAAAAAAGAATCCGTAACGAAAATAAACCTAACACCCCCACTGCGACCGGCACAGCGGTGCGGAGTTGAAAGCCGTGCATCGTCTAACGTCGTTTCAGTTCGGCAGACTTCGGCACGGTGTTTGTGTGCGTGCGACTAGACGTACGCTGCTAACTGCTAATAACTGATTCTATCTCTTTTAGACACAATTTCGGAAAAATTGAATTTGAAAATGAATAATGATCCACAAGAATCTACAACAAAATATGGGACCACCATTGGCGCGGTATTTTCCAGATATTTAGAGGATATCAAGTCTCAAACTTATGTTTCTTATTTCAGTTACCATAAACCTATAGTTTCAATGATAAAAATTTCTGAATAACCTACATGTATTGTAAGATAATAAAAATATTTTAAACAATATTAACTTCTCATTTATTCAATAAAAGAAAACCACGCTCAAAAAAGTGTAACTTGAATTAATATCAAAGAAAAAACTTGAATTAATATCAAAGAAAAAAAATACTGCATAAATAAAATAAATAATTATAATTGCACAAGTTGATAAAAAATGCTATGCAATAGCTTTACCGCGGCAGTTCCCGAGTGTCACACGTATTTTTTTTTTCAAGTGAGTCCGGGGCAACCTGGTCATGCAAACCTTTAAAAACGCTCATTTATTAGAAATTCCCAAAGGTGACCAAGTTGCCCCAAACCCGGGGTAACTTGGTCACCTCATATTTATATATTTTTTTTATAATATAAAACAAAAACATGACTTTTTGCAAACGTTAACTGTTTCCATATGTTGTTGTCGGTTTGTAAAAAAAATTGGAGCAAATGCGTTAAAAAATAAAAAAGATATTTCGGAAAAAGTCAGAAAAAGGTGACCAAGTTGCCCCAGATTACATATTATATAACTAAAAAATGTAATAAAAAAGTATTGTAAAACAAATTAAATTGTCAATTTGATAAAGAAATGCCCAGTCAATCTCTCGTATTCTACTGAAACATTTGTTAATATTAATCAAATGTAGGTGTAATAGGAATTTTGTTGAAATCTGATGAAACCACTAGTACTATGAATCCTTCTTAACGGATATTTGTTGTATAAATACACTTGAGGCTCTTAAATGTTTAGCTCATCGCCAGCACAAAGTCGGTCGAGACGGTTGAATTATAACAGAAGAGATTAAAAGGCTTGATATTTTAATTGCGGTTTACGCTGAGAAATGGGATGGCTCCTCTAGTATTTTATACTTTTTTTTATATTTTATACTACTGTATAAATAAGGAAACTCCAGTATGCCAACCAGTGGCTTACCAGCATGGACAGCGAAAGAAAATATTTGAAAAATAATGCTAAATTCTAAGATTTATTTTTGATATCAAAAAAATATGTTATTCTACTATAGTAATTTGACAATAATTAAAAAAAGGTTATCTCTATGAAGCTAAAATCTATTTGATCTGATTAGTTGACATATTTTCCCCAAGAAACAACAGGAACAAAATGATCACCAAATTACGAATTTTATTAAAAAGGCTATACCACTTACCGCTATCAGATTTAGACCGAATCCAGATATGTACAAGGACCAACTAGGCACCGTATTGGACATGTAGGGATGTTTGAGACTCTCATCGTCGCAGAAGACGCCCCTGTGATACGCACTACCCCATTGGAACAAAAAAAAGATCGGCCAGCCGACTGCAAAAATAAAAAATATATATTTAACGTTGTAAAATATGTTTTCCTACAGCTATAATACAAAACTACATTTTCCCAACTATCGTTGATTACGAAATGACGTATAGTAAGTAATCATTTCTGTATATGATATCACAAAGTAATCGTTTTCGTGTTTAATATCACAAAGTAATCATTTCCGAATATGATAACACAAAGTAATCGTTTCCGTGTCTAATAACACAAAGTAATCATTTCTGTGTCCAATAAAACGAAGTAATAATTTCTGTATCCGATAACACGAAGTAATCATTTCTGTATCTAGTAACACAAAGTAGGTACTCATTTCCGTATCTGAAAAGACAAAGTAATCATTTTCGTATTCGATAACACAAAGTAATAATTTTCGTATCTGATAACACAAAGTAATCATTTCCGTATACGATAACACAAAATAATCATTTCCGTATCCGATAACACAAAGTAATCATTTCCGTATCTGATGACAGAAAGTAATCATTTCCGTGTATGAAAACACAAAGTAATCATTTCTGTTTATGAAAACACAAAATAATCATTTTCGTATAGGATAACACAAAGTAATCATTTCCTTATCAGATAACAAAAAATATTCATTTCCGTATCCGATAACACAAAGTAATCATTTACGTGTATGAAAACACAAAGTAATCATTTCCGTGTATAAAAACACAAAATAATCATTTTCGTATAGGATAACACAGAGTAATGATTTCCTTATCAGATAACAAAAAATAATCTATTCCGTATCCAATTACACAAAGTAATAATTTCCGTGTATGAAAACACAAAGTAATCATTTTCGTATACGATAACATTTCCGTATCCGATAACACAAAGTAATTATTTCCGTATCTGATAAGACACAGTAATCATTTTTATATCTGATAACACAAAGTAATCATTTTTGTATTTGATAATACAAAGTAATCATTTCCGTATTTGATAATACAAAGTAATCGTTGCCGTATCTGATAAAACAAAGTAGCAATATCCTAATTATTTTAATAAAATCGTGTACCATGAATAGTCAAACATTATGTAAATAGTTATCTAGAAAAAACTGTTATTTAAATTTTATAGATTATAGCATGTTATAGTCATAGAAGAAGTATGGTGTTCAACTTCCAAGGAATGTCATATACGTAGGAAACGAGTACCATTCCTTGTTTTGCCTTCAATAGGTACAAAAAGCTAAGTTACCATTTCCGTACTTAATAACACAACCACACATCATTGCCGTAAACGTGTAAATAATGATCTAAAAAAGACTATCATTTTAATTTTATTAATAATTATAAAAACTAATTAAAATCGACAGCAGCATGTTATAGTTAGAAAAAGTGTAGTGTTCAACTTACAAGAAAAGTATTATTCGTAGAAAATGAATTCCACTCCTTGCTAGTTGCGCTGGTTTTAATAGTTATAAAAAGGCTAAATTTGATATTTTTGTTACGGGTCATCCATAAATTACGTCACACGTTAAGGAGGGAGAGGGTCGACGAAGTGTGACATGGTGTGACATTTCGTGAGGTCACATTTCAAAATCTAATAAATCTAATTATTAAAAACACGAAATTTGAACTATTAACGAAAAACTTAATAATATTTTTAATTTAATAATTTCTAGATGTAAAATTCCAAACTATGTTACGTCACACTAAGGAGGGGAAACTAATTTTTATGTTTAATACTTATAATTAAGTTGCTTTTAGATTTAGGATTTATTTGTAAATATAGACGAATATCTTGTGGAATGCTATTATTTACCAATTCCTAACAAAAATCACTTATTTTTAATTTCAATAACTAAAAAAGTATACTGGCAATTAGTTTGACAGATATGCCGCTTAATTAAAATTAAAAAAAATAATACCATGAAAAATAATAGCTGCTTGGTGACCAAATATTGAAATTCGATTGGTGGATTTCGTATCCCTTCAGTGTTCTCACTAGAATGAATATGAAATTATATTCGTTCAGTAGAACGCAATAGTTTTCTTCTTTGTTTTGTAGTGTGTGTGTGTGTGTATAGAATAGATAGTATCTATGTGATAGTATTCCAGGTCTCGCATGGCCGCATTTGCGCCTAATGCCTCTAAAAAGTGTGATGGCATCATGTGTAAAACTAGCGTGGGTACCAGGACACAAAGGTAAACAAGGAAATGAAAAGCTGATGAGCTCGACAAAGAGGGATCAGAACTACCATTCACAGGACCCGAACCTGTATTTGGGGTAAGCAAAACCTCTTCTCAACAGGTAGTGAACAGGTGGATAACCACAAAACACCAAATTCAGTGGCAACAGATAAGAGGGCACAGAATTAGTAAGCTCATGTTAAGGGGACCAAATGGTTACTGGCGTATTACAACTCGCAAGGCCCCAGTTATCCATCATTGTGGGTGTACCAACGGGACACTTTTATGTGATGTGGTTACACAATGATCCCACCACGTGTAGTCTCTGCATACAAGAGCAAGAAACCTCATACCATGTGATCTTCGAATGCGAAGCTCTTGCTAGGTGGCGTGTCACCCTTTTTGGCCTAAAACCGGAAAGAACGTCCCAGGAACACTTGGTAGGGAACTTATTAAAACTAACCAAAAGCACAGGACTATTCCAAAGATAGTACCTGAATACAGGAAAAGCAGGGGAATACAATAGACCCAAGAGGCCGCAGTCACAGGCCTGTCACTCCCTATACTTCCCATGTTAAATTCTGGCTCAAATCTCAATGACCTCGGTACCTCTTCCCCTATTGGTCTAGGGTATTTTTGACAAGTCTGAGGTCAACAATCAGAACGTTGGTTGCTAACACCTGCGAAAAATTACATCTAAAACTAAAAAATATTCAGGTTTTAAGCTACTTGAAGACAAAATTAGTGTGGTTATTAAAAAATTTATGTTTTTTTTGTTTTTAAAATAATGTTGACCTCGATGTCTCCTCCCTATTGGTCTGGAGCATTTTTGACAAGTCTAGTGTCACCAATCAGAACATTGGTTGCTGTCACATGAGAAAAATGACATCTAGAAAATTGATTAGTATTTTTGCAGTTTTTCACTGCACAGACCTTCATAATGTAATTTGTATTAAGAAAATACAGATCTATAACAAAATTCGATTATAAATAAATGTTTGAACCAAAAAGAGAAATGATTAGAAAACTAGGTTATATTAGATTAGATATATTCACATACTTTGATTTTCTTTACTATACGGCGCAAGAGAGAGGTCCGACACGCCCAACATAGGGCCCGGCCATTTTGAACCCTATGCAACAGTTTATAGCTAAAGAATCAGATCGCTCACTCTGCGTCGGCACTTTTGATCTCAATATTCCAGTTTATACACTGCGCAACTCGGATAATACAATATATAACAACCGCCTATAATAAAACAGCTGTCTTCTGCGTATCCTAAATTTGTATCTCTGGAGTGGATGTTATTTTGAAACTTTCAACTGGTCCGAGTGAGCTAACTGATTCTTTAGCAATAATCTGTGACTCAAAAAATAATATTCACTGACACTGACAGCCGCAAGCAAAATATCAGGTGCGTTTTAACCATCCGCTTCTGCTTCCGGAATTGTCGGTTTAGTCGTTTTAACTTGTCAAATTAAAACAAGAAAACCGACAATTCTGAAGCAGAAGCGGATGATTAAAACGCACCTATTAAAAATATTGCGCCAAGATGTAGGCCACACGTAATAAGGGTTCAAAATGGCGGAGTTTTCTATCTCCTTTTAAAAGGCACTCAGAAAGCTGCGCAGTGCGACCATTCTCCGTATAGTAAAAGAAAATCAAAGTATGTGGATATATTTTACCCGCGTAATATATTTTGAATTTTTAAGGTCACAGATTTTCAGATAGATTGACATTTGAGTGCGATATCTTGTGTTAACTCTCTTTACCGCAGTGTTCTGGGCCAAACCTAATCCTACGTGCTTATAATCAACAAAGATAAAGATGTGTTCAGTTTTGAACAATTTTCTTTACACACATATATTAAATTAACATCCTGTATATGAAATAAAGCAAAATGTGCAAATCTGAACATCATGTTCACACCAAATTAAGAAATGTGTTATCTAATAAGTACCTAATTCACTCGTTTTCTTATCTTAATAATATACCTACCTCTATTACTATAATTTCATACTTATTTTAAATTACAAAACCTACACACAGTTTGACTAATACTGTACATGATAGAATACAATAAGTATCTAGGTTAGTTGATGATCTTGAATATAAAGAAATGTTTAACCTTGGAAAATTGCAATGAATTGAATGTAAAGTAAACGTTTCCTAAATTATGATTTAAACATTACATTTTTAATTATATACGACTAAAGTATAATTTTTTGTTGTATTTTGGTTTGTCCAAAATATTTTATACAAGGTAAATCGCAAGACCACGTCAGATATATATGAATCATGGTTGAAAAAAAAAAAGATTATTTACAAAATACTTTAATTTAAAATGATCACTGGTTAATAGGAAATAGACTGTTAATTGGTAGTTGGAATTTAACCACCTATAATTTATTACTGAATGAGTTTTTCTAATAGGGCACTAACATTCAGTAAAAAATAAATACCAATTGCACCAAACATAGACTCCCTCCATTTTAATACCTACTTTATTATATAGAGTGTCCCAAAATTCATCTACTGTATCCTAATCCGACCATAAATGATTGCGTATTTTTTTCCTGTTCACTCAATTTTTTTTATGGAGAACTGTATTCATTTGTAGCATTTTTTGTCTTTTGCAAAAAAACATATATCTCTCATGGTATTCGAGTAATAAATTTATTAAGGACTGATGGTTAGTGATTTAAAATTTTCAAGAAAACTAAGTTGGCGGTTATATCTACCGCAACCTGAACACTGTCGATTTTAACGTTATTACAATAAAAAAAATATATCATTAGGAATAGGTATCTACTGAAAAATAACAAATCAAAGAGAAGGATACATTTTTTTTACAATAAATGTTCAATATGGCCACTTCCTTCGTTCATGCAGGTTTCAATTCGGTGCAAGAAATTTGTACCCTTCTCAAAATGCCTAGATCATTTCGCATAGTTCACAACATTTTGAATCCTACCTCATAATGGTTCAATGTTGTCGATAGGAACTTCTTCAACTTTTGTTTTCAAGAGACCCCGGATAAAATAACCACAAGGATTACAGTCCGATGATCGAGGTGGCCACTGAATAGGAGCATCCCGACCTCTACCAATCCATCTTCCATGGTATTTTCCGTTTAAATAATCTTTCACAAATGCGGGAAAAATGCACCATCGTACATGAAAAACATGTCACAGCGTAAATTGAGCTGTAAGCCTTCTAACAGTTGAGGCAAATCTTGACGTAGAAAATGTCACCGTTAAGATTATCTGACAATTAATATTAAACTCTCGTTGAAAATGTTTCTCTTTAATGGCATGTGGATTTTCATCTGCGTAAACATGTTCGTGTATAGCATGACGCGTCTGTAAACAAAATTTTTCTGTGAAAAACTGGATCGGCTGCTCTGCGCTCTTGAATAACTTGTACAAAATGCAAACAAGGAGTTCCTGAACACTTTGAATATGAAAGGGATAATAAGTTGTTTTCTAACTATTCTGTTAGATGTGCTTTTAGAAACCCTAGTTTAGCATGCCAGTCGTCGTGTACTAATTCCGGGAAACCAAGGAAACCAAGCACTAGCAACATATCAGTTTGTTCATTAAATGTATACTCCATACCGGCCACAAAATGTTTAAAATAACTCCTTCATAAGAACTTAATATACAATACATAATATGAGTAGTATCGACAATTTTTACGTTCTACATCATATCTGTCAAAATTATCAAATTTTTTATTAATAACGTTGACAACCGCCAACTTAGTTTTCTTGAAAATTTAAAGTCTCTAACCATCTGTTTGAATTGTTATTTTTCAGTCGATACCTATGCCTATTGATGATTTTTTTTATAATAACGTTAAAGGTACCATTTCGGTAGGCGCGACAGACGACCGCCGACGCGACATACGATCGCCGATGCGACCGAGAAGTGTCGCTTCACATCTAAAATACATACAATTATATGAAACACATTTCGCACGGCGGAGACACTTCTCGGTGCAAAGCTTTGCTGCGTATCGCACTCGAGGTCACTGTCCTCGGCATCGTTTTTGTTGGGGGTGATTCGGTTGGAAATTTCTTTCGATCTAGGCAGCGTTGCCAGATTTTAAAACAGTATGGGTAAAAAAAACCGTAGATCTGAACAGTAGATTTTAATACAGGGGGAAATAATTAAAATTTGCAGTGTAGTAAATAAAAAACAAGTATATAAGAAACGAAAAATAAACTTTTTGTCGACCCAAATTAGAAGGTAAACAAAGAATAAAAACAAATAAAAACATTTTTATTATATACTTAACGTACGGGAAAAACCAATGAAAAATAATAAGTACCTACTTCTTTTAGATTAGTCTGAATCAGATAATTCAAAATCGTAGTGTTTGGCATATGCATGTTCTTTTTATGATGCCCTATTCATTCTTTGTTTCATTTTAAATAAAAACAATGATTATCTTGATGTTTTTTTTTTTTATGGAGCCAACCTACAGTAGTGGATGCTTATTACGCTGCTTTTACTGCAGAAAATTTACTAGAGAAAATATTATTTAACCATTTGCTGAAGAATGAGGCAAACTGAATAAATTAAGAACAAAATTTACTAGAGACAAAAACACTGGATCTACGTAAAAACAGTAGGTCTGGCAACGCTGATCGTTCCCTCGAATGATTATCCTGTAAGTGTCGCGCGACACTTCTCAAGCTTGCGAAATGTACCAAGCGTAACATTTATGCATCTGTCGTCCTACTCGACCGTGGGGTCGCTTCAGTGGTCGCTTGTCTCTTGACGCTCCTACCCAAATGGTACCTTTAAAGCGACAGTGTTCGGGTTGCGTTAGTTATAACCGCCAACTTAGTTTTCTTGAATTTTTTTTTTACTCAAATACCATGAAATATACATGTTTTTTGCAAGAGACAATAAATGCTACAAATTAAAACAACCCTTCAAAAAAAAAATTGAGGGAACAGAGGCGGCCCTCAAAAAAAACGATGTCAACTTATGGTTGGATTAGGGTAGTTTTTACCCTTCCACGGTTTCAGTTGGTGTAATTTTTGCTTTACAAAATGGCTCTTCAATTAAAATAAGCTAAAAATTTCAAATGTTCTTTCCTAACTTTGAAACTTTCTCACAGGCAAACGAAGCACTTTGTGATGTAGTAATTTTGGCTCATTCGACTTATTTTGATCTTACCAACATACAATACCTAGCTCTAAGTACACGGAATCCTGTATTTTATATATTTACAGTAGAACCTCGATTATCCATGCGCGGTTTATCCGTGTGGCAGAGTTTTTGTGCATTTTAAATTGATCATCCATGCGCTGATTATCCGTGGCTGACGGCCACAGGTTGGCGCATGAACGCTGGTTACTTACGGATGACAACTCGAACATTTGATGGGCTTATATTTAATTTTGATACTAAAACAAATTACAAAAAAATATTAATTTCAATAAAATTTTTGTATCTTCTAAGATTTTGTCTAAATAAGTTATTAAAAAATTTAAAATGAGGTTTTTCGATTATCCGTGTTTTCGATTATCCGGCAAAGGCTCTGTCCCGACTGGCCCGGATAATCGAGGTGCTACTATTAACCTCTATAAAAGCGGGCGGGGTACAACTGTACCCCAGAAATGCATTTTGTTTAGGATACGTAATATATATTTTTATTTTTTACTTTTGAGCCCTTTTTTATTAATATATTTCTGTGGTACTTCATAAAAAAGTTATGGCTTTGTTCTATTTATTTTATTGTAACGAGTAATATTAAGTTTTATTTCTTGGGGTACAGTTGTACGTCACCTGGTATTTATTGTATATTCTGACCTCGGTTTTATGAAGGTTAAGTTGATTTTGAAACTTCAATACTGACAGTTCGCTATTACTAATGTCATTAGTGTTGAAATATTTGTTTTTACTTTACTGTCTATGTACTGAAGGAAAGTACGAGAATCGTTATTTTTTCGACATCGAGTTTTTGACGGATTTTTACGTTTTGGGGCACCCTGAATCCGTTTTAGCTATTTTCGCGATTATGTCTGTATTTGTGCGTATTTCTCCACGATAACTCAAAAACGGATAAAAAGCACTAACTTTTAAAATTAAGTTTAATTCATCATCTAATGAGTTGATTAAATTTTGGACACAGTCGGAGAATCTGGGGAAGGCAATTTTATAAGGGGCCGTTTTTCTACTTTAAGGAATATATCTGTCATTTAAGCTTGGAGAAGAAAATTTGAGGAAAAGTGTAAAATGTTAATTTTTCGGTTTTTTCCTTGAATATACATATATAACATGTGTGTGAAAAATGTATGTATTTAGTTCATCCTCTTAACATTTACAGGGGTGATACAATAGGTTGTAGAGAATAACCAGAAAAAGCCCTAAAAACTTTAGTTTTCTTAATAATTAATCGTGAAATAAAAAAGATAATTCAATTTTTATTTAGAAAATGCTTAGAAATGTGAGTTAGACCTTTGAAAACATCCATAAATATTTTTGGAAACGATTTCTTTTCTAATTAAACTAAATTTGACAAAATAACATTTACTAAACTTAGAATAAAGTAGGTATTACGTGAAGTTATTGGTTGCTACTTTTATTTCTTTTTTACTGAATGTAAAAATCTCATTAGGTATTGTCAGAAACTTATGTCGTTAATAAATTATAGTTGGTAAAATTCCAATTACTAATAATTAACAAATACAGTCTATTTTCTAATAACCAATAACCAGTTAAAATTAAATTACCTATCTTTTTCATTTAAATATAAAAATCTCTCAAAATTATTAACATTAGGTATATGGAATGCTTAACTAAAATTAAAGTATAATTAGGGTGGTATTTTGGAATAGTGGTCAATTAAAAAATGAGAAAATGATATATTTGAGTTTTGACCCACCCTGTACAAATTTGTTTCAAAATAAAAAAAATAATGCGTCGGCATAAATGTTGAATAACATCGAAAAACTTTTAGGGCAAAAAATGTGTTTTCAATTATTTAGGTATGTTGCAGTATTTATACAAGTTTTTGAAATCAATACAGTTTTTTATAAAATTGGTATGAAATACCTACCCTGCGTTACAATTTTCATATAAAACTGGCTATAGCGTGTGAAATACCCTGTGTAAGCCCATAAATACTATTTGGAATTGTTATAATGGGAAAAGCAAGGGTAATTCAAACATAAAATACAGGGTGTCCCATTAAAACAATACCTTTGATATGTATCACTTTCCTTTAAAACCCTGTATAATTAATATTATTTTTAAATAATTGCCTTTCCTGATATACATCTCGCTGTAAAAACATAAAAAAGGATTAGTAATTGGCTATAAAGACAGAGGCCCATATTTTTGTTTTGTTTACCTCTTATAGCCTTTGTTTTGCTTTGTATTTCATGTTGGCAATAATTCTAAACAATATTATTATTTACCTATCTAATATATTAAAATCGATAGATAATAATGTAACGATTTACATATTTTTTATTATTTCAGTCATCAACAAACCAGGAACATCCAAACAACCACTTACATCAACCCAAATATTGACCTACAAACACATAACCTCACATTTCTCCTACAAACTCACCGCAATTTAACAAAAAAATGTCCAACAACACCTTCTCGATCTTAACCACAACATCATTGGCCATGATCGCTAAAAAATCCTCCTCCTTTCACACGCTCCTCAAGTCAGTTCATTTGGCATAGTCAGAGAGATAAAAACACTTTCTCCACACCTGTCAAACGGAGCGCCGTTCATTCATTCATAAAAATTCGGACGTTAGCGAAATCGCGCTTTATTTACGTTCTTTTACCGATCGCTGGATAAAAGCGATAGAATCACACAGTGAGCTGAACTCGCACTGACTGAACTGAAAACGGAATATTGTCAGTTGTTGGAGCGTGGAGTTCAATGTTATAGGCGCTTAGCGCGATAGTAGGCTTTGGTCGGTTACCATCTCTCACCTGGGAATCTCCCTCTCTCACTACGATGGGCTATTGCGCAGCGGCGTAACACAGCTAGGGGATACAATAAATTTAATAGGGTAATTAAATGAAAATAATTTAAATCATGTTTAATTAAAGAGACGTTTTATGATATTTTCAGCTGCTACTTAATCGTAAGCTGTCTCATAAAGAAGAAAAAGATACTAAAAACAAAAATAAAAAAAAGATTAGTAACGAAATAAAACTATCAACTGCAAGTTTAGATGATTTATATAACTTAAGGTTGGCGTTCGCCCATAGAAATTTGCCGTATATGCGCGGTTGACTTTAAACGAAGCTTTCGAGAAATATATATTTCCTGGCATTGATTTTAATATTTTGGTATCTAAACCACATATAATCGCATTGACCTACCTAGGAATTTTCTTTAAAACTAAACATATTTACATGTTGCCTTTCCGTTACAACCTGTACAACTAACACAGAAAAATAATGAAACACATCACACTTCAAAATATTGTTTAGTTTGTTTGATACCTTGGTTTAAAATTATATAGATTTTTTTTTATGAAAACACAATTATATTTTGTATGTGATATATCACGTAACACAGCAGAAAGTTACAAAGTTAAAAACATTTTTAAGTATTTTATTTTAACGATTTTGTAAAAAAATTGCGAAATTGTTCAGATAAACAATTTTCGAAATATAGCCAGACGCCGCCCCTAAAATCCAACTATTCAAAGGACCAGGTACCTTTCTTATGGAAAAATTGCTTCCAGTCAAATTTTCTGAAATATTATGTAACTTATCCATAATGCATATGTCATGGTAAGTCAAATTATTATTAACTCTCTTTATTAGTTTTTTAATTCAATTTTCGTTTTTTTTTTCACTCTTTAATGCATTGACTCTTTAACAATCCATTTAAATATGCCTGAAGATAAAGTAACCTACTTTTAAACCGGTCGTTACTTAAATTGACATGACCCTAGTTTTCCTGCTGCCTTCGTAATTAATTCCAACCACTCACAACCTACACCCTTCATTTTATACATCTTGCACCACAGTCTGCAAAAAACTGGCAAGCATTCCCAGATAACGATTATACATTCTTAGAATATTCTTAGTATATACTTTTTAAGAATACGCATATGCTGAGAATATACTGTATTTGCATTTGGTACATTCTCAGAATATGCTAAGCATATGCTACGTGACGTTGTTTATACGTGCTATGCAGATACTGAGAATGTACTTCAAGTATGTGTACAGTATGCAACAGGTATCTACTTTAATTTGATAGTACGTTCTAAGTATATGCTAAGTATTTAAATATAGCATATGCTAGGCATATACTAGACACCTTAATACAGGATGTTTAATTAATATTGAACATTAAAGAATAAGTGTATATAATGAGTCTTTATTTCAAAGAAGTCATACTTATTTTTATTACAAATAATATCTTTGGCCTTAACCAATCAATATTTTATTGTATCAATGGCTTAAGTTTCATTTGCTTGATTTCATTGGATCTTTATTGAACCTAAAAAATAAAAAAAATTAACAAACTTGGTACATATACAAATTAAGTGTACATAGCTAATGGAATATTTTAAATATTTTTGTCGAACATAAAACATTAAAAATTGTACATGGCATTCCACTAACAAAAACAAGAGTTACATAAATGATTATGATGTTTGCTGAATGTTTAAATATATTTTTGTTAATTACTTACCACCATTTTGTAGTTTTCGTTCTCCTTTAGCTAACTTTTCTAGTTCTTCCAGGTCAATATCTGGCCTTACAGGATTTTTTTTATAGAAAGTGTGTATGTAATTCTGGTAACACTGTATTTTAGTTTCAATCCACCATTAGTATTAACTATATTAATAAATTCACACTGGCAATTAATATTTGGGATATCCTGTATTCTAACGTCACTTATAGGTCCTAAAAACTATAAATATAGTAAAATTTGTTTATTTTCATATAGAACATACGATGCAATTAATTTTTATTAATTGACTTACCTCTTACAAACAGACGAGATCAAAAAAATTTGTAGAAATTGTAGGTTGTTATTCTTCTTCTTTTCTTCTATTTTAGTTTAAGAATGTTTTTTGGCCTAAACATTCAACATTAGTGCGTTTGGTAGCGAATTATTAGATCGGCATCTGGGAAAAATTCATATAGATATGTATATAAACTTGGTTTTACATGTATTTGGTGTTAATTTTTACCTGCAAGCATTTAGAACATTCTCAGAATATGAGGTACATGCTGGGTATATGACTTTTAGTATCTTCTAAGAATGTCCTGTTATAGCACGTGCTCAGTATATACTTTTTGGAATATACTTTTAAGGCACGTACTCAGTATATACTTTCTAGAATATACTTTCAAAGTATATTCTAGGTATGTTCTAAGAACATTTTAAAAGGATATACTAAAAAGAACTTAAACAGAACGTTCTTGGTATATTCATAGAACATTGATGTTATGTGGGTTGAAATGTTCTTCAAAATGATGTCGCGAGGTCGATGCTAGATTTTAAGATGGTCCTCTAAAAAGCTATTAACTTTTCATAGTTGAGTTTTTTGTCGTGTATTAGCAACAGTTCTGAGCGCTTACAAAAATATGCAAATTCCTGACCAAATAGGACATATTAAATTATCGCAATCCTCTATGTAAAGCATGCAGAAAAAAGCCTCAATTATCAAGATGATGACATCAAACTCTTGAAAAAGTGGTTATTATTATTAAAAAAAGTATATCGACCTTACATTCAACCGGTATTGTCTGTTGTTACATATGAAACACTGTAACATTTTTAAATATTTAAAATATCGCAATCCTCCTCTATGTAAAGCATGTAGAAGAAAGCCTCAATCAATTATCAAGATGATGACATCAAACTCTTGAAAAAGTGGGTAATATTATTAAAAAAATATATAGACCCTAAATTCAACCGATTTTGTCTGTTGTTACATACAAAAAACTAACATTTTAAAATATTTAAAATATCGCAATCCTTTACGTAAAGCATGCAGAAGAAAGCCTCAATTATCAAGATGATGACATCAAATTCTTGAAAAAGTGGTTATTATTATTAAAAAAAATATATCGACCCTTCATTCAACCGATTTTGTCTGTTGTTACATACAAAACACTGTAACATTTTAAAATATTTAAAATATCGCAATCCTCTACGTAAAGCATACAGAAGAAAGCCTCCATTATCAAGATGATGACATCAAACTCTTGAAAAAGTGGTTATTATTATTTAAAAAAATATATCGACCCTACAATCAACCGATTTTGTCTGTTGTTACATATGAAACACTGTAACATTTTTAAATATTTAAAATATCGCAATCCTCTATGTAAAGCATGTAGAAGAAAGCCTCAATCAATTATCAAGATGATGACATCAAACTCTTGAAAAAGTGGTTATTATTATTAAAAAAAAATATATCGACCCTTCATTCAACCGATTTTGTCTGTTGTTACATACAAAACACTGTAACATTTTAAAATATTTAAAATATCGCAATCCTCTACGTAAAGCATGCATAAGAAAGCCTCCATTATCAAGATGATGACATCAAACTCTTGAAAAAGTGGTTATTATTATTTAAAAAAATATATCGACCCTACATTCAACCGATTTAGTCTGTTGTTACATACAAAACACTGTAACATTTTAAAATATTTAAAATATCGCAATCCTCTACGTAAAGCATGCAGAAGAAAGCCTCAATTATCAAGATGATGACATCAAACTCTTGAAAAAGTGGTTATTATTATTAAAAAAATATATCGACCCTTCATTCAACCGATTTTGTCTGTTGTTACATACAAAACACTGTAACATTTTAAAATATTTAAAATATCGCAATCCTCTACGTAAAGCATGCAGAAGAAAGCCTCAATTATCAAGATGATGACATCAAACTCTTGAAAAAGTGGTTATTATTATTAAAAAAAATATATCGATCCTACATTCAACCGATTTTGTCTGTTGTTACATATAAACCACTGTAACGTTTTAAAATTCCATTTAAAAATGTTATTTTAATTGTATGACATCCTGTATTAAATAGTAATAGTGGGGATCTGGCTGGCTCTTGATGATTCGAACCTTTTCATTAAAATTCATTTCTCATCTGATATTTTTAATTACCAGTTCAGTGTCGAGACTGTAAAAAAATAACGGTAAGTTAATAAAATGTCATTAGAAAAAATTTTTCAGTTGAAATTATATTTGTACTTATTGTTACTGTTAGGTTTATTTATTTTGAAAGTCAATTTAAATTTATTAAATATGCTTTAGTTATTCATTTTGTGAGCTAGTTTTACACATTGTTTATATTAATTAGTTTTTTGTTATCTTGATTTAATTTTAAAAAAGTAATTGTTTAAAAGTTAATTTACATTCTAAAAGGATATACTAAAAAGAACTTAAACAGAACGTTCTTGGTATATTCATAGAACATTGATGTTATGTGGGTTGAAATGTTCTTCAAAATGATGTCGAGAGGTCGATGCTAGATTTTAAGATGGTCCTCTAAAAAGCTATTAACTTTTCATAGCTTTTCATAGTATTTTCATACAAGAGCCTCGTGAAAAACATAATTTATTTTTTGTTTAGGAAGCGAATGTAAGCAGTCTTTTAGTTTATCTAAATTCACTGCTATCGCTATTCAAATCTAACATAAAGGAGCTGTTTCAAATTAAACAATTGGAATGTTTTGGAGCTCGAGAAGCTACAGAGGCTATTGATGATGGCGACTTTCCAAATTTAGATGGAGATCTTCAGATAGATAGCTGTAACTAAAATTCACGTGGCCAAGAAATGTTGAATATCGTACGATACTAGTTAAAATTTAAAGTTGTTGGCACTACCATGGTAAAATCATTTGTTATTTAAAGCCTGTATTTTTTTAAATTTGTAAAATAATATTTCAT